TCCAGGGGAAACTTTACCCCCCTAGTCGCCAATCACCCTCAAATCCCTTATAAAGTTTTTATCTTCATGTCGTCATAAAATCAATATCGTGAGCAATATCATAATGAAAACTCACAAGCGGCCGTAAGTCGAATTGCTGTATTGCCATGCTTTACCAGACATTATTCAATTCTCTCAAGAAGAAAATCTCCCGGTTGCTCTACTATCTATTGATCAAATGAAAGCCTTTGATCGTGTAAATTGGAACTTTCTCCTTAAAACACTTGAAAAATTCAATGTCGGTCTTGTTTTTATTAGCTGCGTAAAACTTCTATTAACATTGAAAGCAAAGGTAAATGTAATGATTTTATTTCCGACCCTTTCACTCCTAGCAGAGGTGTCAGACAAAATTGCCCCTACTCTGCCCTTCTTCGCGTTCTCATTGCTGACGTGTTTGCCGCTAATGTCTGCTGTGACCCTGCAATTACGGGTGTTACTGTTGGTAAAACTGAATTTAAAAGAAATACGCAGATGATACTACCCGTCTTTTTCAAGGTAACCAATCCTTACTAGCAATTTAAAATCACATAACGAACTACGAAAAAGCCTCTGGAGCTAAAATAAACAAAGATAAAAGTAAAGGCCTCTGGCTTGGTAGCTTTAAAAGCCGTCTTGATTCGCCTCTAGGTTCTAATTGGAAAAAGAAATCCCTCAAAATCCTTGGCCTTTTTTCGGTAATGAAGATATCAATAAACTAAACTGGGAACCAAAAGTGTTTAAATTTATAAAAACACTACCTCTTCGAAAATTGTGTGACTTGACCTTTAGAGGGAAGGCCTTGTCGTTAACCAGATTGCAAGCTCTGCAATTTGGTATACAGCTTTGGTTTTCCCAATACCCAAAAGGGCAGTTAAACAACTTAATGAAAAACTTTGACATTTCCTTTTTAATGGCAAACGACCCCCAATCCCTAGATCACAAGCTTAACTTCCTAATCAAGAAGGCGGCCTTGATGTTTTTGATATAGAGGAAAAATATAACCGCCTCCTTTTATCATGGCTATCCAAACTCGTTGCCCACGAACAAACAGGCAAATGGAAAGTTCTCCTTGACCATTTCTTAGGAAAATACAAAAACCTACAAATCGGAAAAAATATCATCAAATGCGAAATAATCAAACTACCTTCTTTTTCTAAAAACATACCCTCCGTACGTATCTGGCCATTACTAACGATCATAACAGATCTATTGATAACATGCTTTAAATCTTTAACGAACCCCTCTTTCTGAATCCAAAAATTGGCAAAGTTAATCTACCCCTCAACTCTTCCTGGGTCCTTGCAGGAATAGCACTATTAAGAGAATTCACCTATGACCTATGAACTAATTGGTAAGAAGTTTAAATCTAAAGAATATTCTCTCATTTATCATGCCTTCCTTTAGAATAGATAAATTTTGTCCATTCCAATTCTGCACCTAAGAATCGCTTTTCTATTAATTTCACTCCTCCTATTGAAGTCATGAAACCAGCTTTCTAAATTGTATTCTAAAGACTTTTATCTTGCATCTCTTATGGTCCCTACTGAGGTTTCTTCCAAAAAGTTTTGTGTCTATTGGGAAAGGAAAATCTTGACTGGAAATCTATATTCAATTCGATATTTAGAAGAGATTCCGACCGAAAATCTTGCAACCTGCAATATAAATAATCCAACTCGCTATTCTCACTGCTGATCGTTTAGCTAGACACAAAATTATTGACAATCCCACTTGCTCCCGCTGTAATAGTTATTCGAATGGGCTTTTTCTATATTCTTGCAAACTGAAAATGAGGCAACGAACTTGCCAATTATGGAAAGACAAGGGGCGTTTAAATGTGTTGTTTACAGGATAATCTAATCATTGAGGAGTATTTCTTTTGACTAGGAAAGTCAGACAGCCAAATGAATCACGAAGGGAGATATCCTATCTTTGTGTAAACAATGGGGAGGATTATCATGTTCAAGTGTCATCTAATAGGTCTGTAGTGTCTTGAAGAGACTGGGCAACAACTGAAGCTAAAACATTATTATGGCAACAAATTTTAAATTAAAGAGCAATGCATAAAAAGATGTAGCATAGTTACATGATGGTTATACCTTAACCATACATGCATTAACAAACCCTTGTTTTATATACACCCAGTCTTCGCGTATGCTGTAAATTTTCAGAGTGGTTTGTATCTTAATAATATCAAGTAACATTCGTCCACATGTATATATGTTAAATTTTGTAGCAATAATGTCATTTAGAATTGTATGCTTTTTTCACATGCATATATATATATTAATTTTGGTAAAAATATTGTCATTTGGAATTGTATCTTGTATCTCATTTAAAATTATAACTCACATTTTACACTACATATGTTTTCTATTCTTACCTTCGTCTAATTATAATGACACTTGGTAATGACACTGGCTCATCCTTGGTAACATAACCTTGGTAATGTTGCCATAAATAAAATTATTCCAGACAGGTCAATCATCGTTTCTGATCTGTTTCAGCTTCAGCATACCTATCTTGTAGCGTTTGCTAAAAAAGGCCAAATTAATACAAATTCAACATAGAAAAAATCTTGCTCTCCAAATATACATACTTTGCAACTTTCAGAGCACGATTTTCCCAACTGAGTGCCCACCTTCCTATATTAACCTCAATGAATTAGTTTTTATCGAGTGGCCATCTTCTACACTGCACTACATAATGCAGTTTCCTTCCTTTACCAACTTTCTTATTAAAGCCTAAACCATAGTGAGCCTCTATCTATCTGTCAATAAAAATACACAGAGATGGTTGATGCAAATCTCAAGCAAACCTATTTTCAATTAACATTCGAATTCATTTAATGCAGCAGAATATGTTATAAAAGTTTTGTATATAATTATACTAAGTAACAATAACAAAGAAGCAATGATAAGAGGCAATAATAGTGTCAGTTAGCATTTGAGAATTAGAAACTTGGTAAAATCAATTGACAAAGTGAAAGTTAAAACAATTCAGGCAAAAATTGAGGCAAGGATTACTGTATTATTGAAAGAAGATTCTTGGGCCTGTGGAAATCTGCATGGCCTATTTATTCACAATTCCAAATCAAATACTTTTCTAAAATCATTCTAACAGCCATTTGCGGGGATAATTGCAAAACAGGGTTCTGTTTGTTATATCCATTTTAACACCGTTGTACTTTATAAATCTTTTTCATGGTTTGTTCTAATTGTTGGAGTAGCAAGATGCTTTTTGGTTGCTTGGGCGGTTTGATATCCATGTCGAGAGGTCGAACTTGCAGCCAAGCTGACCTTTACTGGGGATAAGCTACCTGCACTCAAACGATTATTGGCCCACCCTCCCCCCCCCCCCAGCTGCAGCTACAACTGCTGTCATGGTGGGGGGTCAGGCAATCTGAGAAGTAACCCACAAATGGGGAGAGAGCGGCCAAAATCCAATGCTAGGATCCAAAATCCAAGCCGAATAACTCATTCACTAACTCACTCACCTCGACGACGTTCTTCAACATCCACAGATTGATTCCTTTGCTGCTGCAGTGAAGGAGCAGGCAGGCAGGCAACAGGCAAAAAAACTGAGCGCTTCGTAAGCAAAGAGGCAGACTTGTGGAGAGTCTGAACTGAAGACATGAGACTGGGTATCGCTTCTCGGCCTTTTGGCTAAGATCAAGTCCCACAAGTGGAGCTGCGACCTTTGGAAGAGGATTTAGAGGAAATTGGAAAAGAGCAACAAGTAAAGGGTGAGTTGTTCAGCGTTGCTTGTGGGACAATCTTCCCGTTAGGACCTGCAGGTACGATGACCAACGCCCACTGCCGCAGGTACCCTACCCTACGTTCGGTTTTTGGCCTTGGCCATTAGCTGAAGTATGGCCGAGAAGCTTGCTCCCAGGGGCTCTGTGCCCTACGGGAGTGAAGATCTAGAGATTGAGGATGCGGTCAGTTCAGACGAAGATTTCATTGACCCTGTACTAGAGAAAGAGCAGCTGGAGAGACACCCGCAAAATTTGAGAACGTCCAGTGTCCCACAAGTGCCACTGAGAAAACGCCGCCCATTTCCTATTCCCACAAGCGTCATCGTTGCTTCTAGCCACCCGTTGTCAGTCACTCCATCCGTTGCAGATGAGGCTGAAGTTGTCACGAGACAGGTCCTCAATTATGCAGCAGCAGTTGGAAGGACTGCAGCCCCTGTCACAGAGGTTATAGTTGGCAGGTCTGGTGGCCTGTGCATGAATAGCATTGGCCGGCCGAGACCAAGGATTGTCTGCGTCCACTCGGGGAAGGGGGCCATCGACTGCAAGGCCCTAATTGCCAAGTTGGAGATGTACCTCCTGGAGCCAACCCACGTCCAGAGGCTCCCAAATGGGGATCTGGAGGTCACCTTCCCCACTGTAGCGGACAAGGACAGTTTTGTCCGTCACCCACGCCGCCCTTGGCAACCAGGGCTCCGAGACCCACCCCCTGCATAGGTGAGGGTATTTAATAAGCCAGGGTAAATACGACCGGAAGTGGTGGAGAGGAGGCTCAGTCGGTTCGGCCGGGTTCTGTTTGCCAGGGAGAACACCCACCCTGGTACAAATAAGTTGAACGGGGTCATGACCCTTAAAATGATCATGACCGAGCCAATTCCCAGTTACGTGCACCTGGGTCCTACCTGCTTGCTTGTGCGACACTAAGGGCAACCTATGATGTGTCGTAAATGTGACAGCAGGACCCACCTTGCAGCAAATTGCTCCGTTAAAAGGTGCTTTAACTGTGGGTGTGTTGGGCATATTAATGCTGACTGCCCCGAAAGCAGTGTCTGTCAGGGTTGTGGGTCGCCTGAGCACCATCTTGCTCAGTGCGATACCTCATTCTTCCCAGACCCGAGCGGAACAGACGATGCAGAGTCAATTCCCGAAACCCCCACTGAAACCACCATGGCTTCTACTGCAACTTCTGATTCAGAAGACACAGCAAGTCCCCAAGATCCCCCATTGACCAATCAGACAGACGGGCAGCAGACAGAAGAAAAGCAGACGGAAGAGCAGCAGAGCGAAGAGCAGACCGAAGAGCAGACAGAGGAGCAGACAGAGGAGCAGACAGAGGAGCAGACAGAGGAGCAGACAGAGGAGCAGACAGAGGAGCGGACAGAGGAGCAGACAGAGGAGCAGACAGAGGAGCAGACAGAGGAGCAGACAGAGGAGCAGACAGAGGAGCACACAGAGGAGCACACAGAGGAGCACACAGAGGAGCAGAGTGAAAAAGAAGATCTCAAGGAGCCCGAGCAGACACCCAGTCCAGAAGAAGACGCCATGCAACCAGACGCACAGCCTGTTACGAACTGGTATGATACCCTGTCATTCTGACCGGGTACTTACTCTTCTCCTAAGTTTTCTTCCCCTCTTCCCCCTTTTCCAATCCCCCTGTCGATGCTGACTTCCGAGCTTCTTCTAAGAGGTCCTTCCAGGATGATAATGTCTCTGACATTTCTGCCGTGCAAAGGCCCTCTACCAAGAAGAAGTCGAAGGGTCGCTCAGCACGGCAACCTACCTCTTCCTAATAACTGATGATTTTGGTGTTCCCCTCCCCCAGTGAGTGATGGCAACTATTAATATAGTATCAATAAACGTCCACGGACTTAGGGAGCATGTTAAGTGTTCCAACGTAATTGACTGGCTTAAAAGTAGGAAAACATAGCGTCATATTTTTACAAGAGACTTACTTCTCTGAGCCCGCTGACACCACCTTTCTCAAATCGATCTGGAAAGGAGCACTTTTCTCATCATTCGGAGGAAAACATAGCAGAGGTATAACCACCCTCATTAAAGAGTCCCTGTCTGTCAAAAGTTCCAAAAATACTCATGATAATTGCGGATGTTGGGTCAACGTTATTTTAGACGCAGAAGATTCCAAGATTCAGCTTTTAAATGTCTATGCCCCATGCCCCATAGGGGAAAGAGCTGCCTTTTTTAAATGCTGCCTCCTCGCATTAGGGGGGGAATTCCAACAATCATCGGAGGCGACTTTAATTGTATCTTTAACTTGTATCTCAACAAACTAGGTGGTGACAGCCAACAAGGTTCCACTGCCCTAGAAGTTCTAGCTGACCTTTTGAAATCATTTAACCTTACTGATGTTTCTCGCTCAATGCACCCATCTGCACGCAAATTTACCTGGACCAATTCAACAGTTTCTTCTAGACTAGATAAGTTCTACGTTTCCCCTGATATCTTAGCCAATACCAAACACTGTGAAATAGCAGTGTTCCCCTTTTTGGACCATGAGGCCCCATTTCTGTCCTTCAAATTACCAAACTCGTCACCTCGTGGCAGAAGTACCTGGAAATTTAATACTAGCCTTCTTGAAAATGAAGAGTTCACTTGTAATATGAAACATTTTCTGAAATTTTGGGTTACTCGCAAAAAAAGGCAAACTACACATTTGGTGGGATATTGCTAAAATGAAAATAAGAAACAGATGCAAAAAGTTTTCTAAACGCTTAGCAAAAGAAAAGAGAGAGAAACGCACCACTTTGGAAGAAAAGCTCCAACGGGCAACAATTTCTCTGGAACAAAAGGAAAAAGAAACTGTTCCCTTGATTAGACGAGAAATTGAAGAACTCGATCTTAATAATATTAACAGTGCACGTATTAGAGCAAAAGCCCTTGAATACCAATCCAATGTGAAATCTTCCCGCTACTTTTTCAGCCTTGAAACTTCACGTCAGTCTAAAAAAGTGATCCGTAAGTTAAAAACACCAGATGGTAGGGTAATACAGGATGGTAGGGACCTGCTTGGCTGCATTGCTAATTTCTACGAATCCCTCTATTCCCCGAAACCCATTGATAATGAAAAACAGAATGAAAACTTTTGTCCCCGAAAACTTTAAATTTTTACTTGACGAACCACTCTCCGCAGACAAATGTCACAAAGCCCTCACCAACATGAAATCCGACAAATCGCCTGGCTCTGATGGGCTAGCAGCAGAATTTTATAATTTCTTCTGGGATGAAATTGGCGAAGCCTTAGTAGAAGTACTAAACTTTTGTTTTACTAAAGGACATCTCACTGAATCCATGCGGTTAGCTATAATCTCCCTCTTATACAAAAAAGGAGACATTGAACTCCTCAAAAACTGAAGACCAATTTCACTACTTAATGTTGATTACAAAATTCGCTCCAAAGCCTTTGCAAATAGACTGCAACTGATCCTTCCATCCATTTTAAATAGCGACCAAACCTGCTCTGTACCACGCAGGTCTATTTTGAAAATCTCATGTTAGCAAGAGACTCTTATTGATTACTGCCAAGAGAAAAATGTCCCCCTTGCATTAATTAAAATTGACCAAGAAAAAGCTTTTGACCGTGTCAACTGGGACTCTCTTCTAAAAGTCTTGGAAAGAATGAATTTTGACCCAAAATTCATGCGTTTCGTGAAAACCATGTATACCAATGTTTCTTGCCAAACTAGCAACAACGGCCCACCTTTCTAGGAAAGTAACCCTTAAACGTGCGGTAAGACAAGGCTGCCCATTGTCCCCGCTATTATATTGCATAGTAGCGGAGACCCTGGGCAACCTCATCCGTCAAAATCTCAAAATTGACGGCCTCCACCTTCCAGGTTCACAAAAAGAAGTCAAAATTTCCCAATATGCAGATGTCACCACCCTATCTCTAAGAAATAATTTTTCTTCAAAGAAGCCATAGCCACTATGAAATTGTACGAATTAGGTTCCGGATCAAAGGTGAATTATGATATGGGCAAGTCCTGCGGAAAGTGGTTCAACAAGCCCCAATATATTTCCGCCTCTCCGTCTTCCCCTTTAAAATGGACCGACAGTGCTCTTGAAATACTAGATCTCGAATTTGGCACTCAAACAGCCCTTGAAAGCTGTTGGATAAAACGGGTCGAATAATTGACAAACAGGTTTGGAGCCTGGAAACACCGATCTCTCTCTTTAAAAGGTAAAGCCCTGATTGTAAACACAATTGCTCTTTCTGGCCTCGTCTTTGTAGGAACAATCCACCATCTCCCTACTGCTGTAGAAAAACAAGTTAAGCGAGCTGTTATTCTCGCCTTGGTCTACTCCGACATATTGCCGGCCCTGGCATGGAATGCTGCCCTTGCGAAGCCACAACAGTGGCAAATCCCATGGGAGCATGTTCGCTCCCAACCCTCCCAAGACCCTGAAAACGATGTCGTATGTAAAATTTATCATCGGGTCCTGAAAACAGCAAGTTACTTAAAAAGTTGGGGTCTGAATATCCCCGAAAATTGCGACCAATGTCACCAAATCGAAGACATTACTCATGCCAAATTGCAATTGCAGTCTTCGTGTACGTGCAGCCGATTTTCGAACAGCTGCTCGGCACATTTTCTGTGCTCCCCTCCCTAGTCATATTCTTTGAATTTCCGAATGGCATCAACTGGAATGCCAAAACTCTCTGCCGTTGCCTACTAAAAGTCACTCTGCATTCCATATGGATGCACAGATGTGATCGCAGGTTTGAAAAGAAGGCCCCCAACCCTCTAGGCGTTGTTTCTTCTATAAAGGCCACTATTAGAAACAGATAATTTACTTATCCTCTATATCGTAGCAACCTCTTTTACTTGTCTAACTCTTCATTATATTATCCTAAACAAAAACATGAACATTATCGGCCTGAAATTCACTACTGTTGTCTCTGTAACTTCCATTAAACGAGTAGCGTTATATTGTCAGTATATCGCAATGTTTGATTTGCCAGTTAATTGTATCATTGTCGATAATTTTTTACTTTAACCAAATGTCTGTAAATTGTATCGTATCCCCCAACTCTTTTTGTATTTTGTCAAGTAATCAGTATATTGTGAAGTAAAATTTTGTAGCCAAGGGGGACCTCTGCACAAAAGGGGCAGTTGTCTCCCTTTATATTGTCACCTTGTCTATAAATGATCATGATTGTTATGCCCTGTCCCTACTGTGTCATCAGAGGGCAGGAATTTAAAAAAAAAGTATTTGTTCTTATCAGCTTAATATCTGATATGCACCCAAGGGCGCTCAAATATTAAACTGATTTTTGGAACCAGCTTGTCGGCATGAGGCTTGCCTCACCGCGAGCACGGGTTGCCCTGGCATTGCAGTACAGCCATGGGTGGCCCAGCCTCTTTTCATCAATTGGCAAGAAAACAATGATTTTCACATTTTCACAGTTGCAATCATTCAAGTCCATATTGTTGATATGACTGGCTAACAACAGATAGGAAAAATGTACTTGCCATGCGCAAAGTAACCACAGGGCACCGAGAGACACGGACCCAGGGACCTTGTTTATTGCGAAATGCGCCATTATGAAAAGTTGCCGCCATTATGAAATCGTATCTACGCAACAATGAAACCATGAAAAATTTTATTATGTTTACTTTTGAGCAAAGATGGAAAAAGGAAATAGAAGTGTAGGAGAGTAAAACAAGGAGATAATTTTTAGATAATTGTTAATAGTTTCAAAGGCATCGAAAATGTCTTTAAAGTTCGTACATTTCTTCGTTTTGTTTGTTTTTTCAGTTCTACCTTTTGTTTTTAATATAAAAATTTTTAAATCTGATTGTGGTTGTGCTGGTTGTGGAAAAATATGGCAACGTGACGTAAATTTCAAGAAAACAAGCAATTTTTCAGTTAATGAGTTAAGGAGCTGCTTTGGAAGAGAAATAAGTCAAGGTGATCTATGTTCAAGTTGTTTTCGGGATGTTTATCGATGGCGTGAAAGTGGAAAGGTTTCACTGGTAAGTACCAAACAAGTTTCCTCCATTTTGCTGGCGAAATGTTTCACTAGGAGTACAATATAACTGCAAATACATAAAATAATAAAACACAACAGTATTCCATATCTCCAAAAACGATTTCCAGTTAAACTAATTTTTGACATTTACGATATTGAAAGGCTTTGTGTATCTTAATGTATAGAGTATCTATGCCTACACAGTATTTAAAAAAATTCAAAATACAAAGTGTCAATCCTAATGCCTATGTTGATTTCTTCCATGAATCAGAAAGTTGTACAGAGCGGAGGAAATAAAGGAAGGAAAAGAAAGCGGACGAGGAATGGGCGATGATTGAAGGGTGTGGCCATTCATACCATATAAGATGCCTGAATGATGTGACATATTGTCCGATTTGTAGATCCTGTATAAAGAAGGAAATAGAAAGACTATCAACTTCAATAATAAATGGAATAAATAGTAACCAAAGAAAAGATCTTCCAACTGTGCAGCTAAATGCTTCCGAAATAGTGGAGGAAAGATATGATGCTAGTGATTTGGATTTAGAAGATATACAATTTTGCGAAGTTTTAAGCAATGATATAGATAAACTTACCGAATCGATCGAAAGTTTTCAGCCACAAAGCCCACATGACAATTCTGCTGCTGTTTTTACTCCACTCCATAGAGAAAAAAAACCTCCGCACTGTAAGAAATGTGGTCATGCGAAAAAGGGACACAAAAAGGCCAACCAAGGAGGATTAGAGTGTTGCCTTTTCTGCCAAGGAGGTACCTGCAGCATTGCTGGCAAAACCGTTCCCTGCAACTGTGATTGGCATACTGATCCACTAAAAGAATTCGAGGGGAAAGGAAAGAATGTCCACAAAGATCGCAAAAGTACCACGACCAAGCTTGGACACATGAGTACCACGACCAAGCTGAGCATCTTTCACCACCAGAAGCGTCACAAGTTGGAGTAAAAGGCTATGGAACAGGGTCAAATTCTTGCACAGCAATCTCTGTTTTGACATGCAAAGCAACATTGAAGCAATCTTTCTTGTCACCTTCAGTGACTGACAATGTCGAGGAATTGATAGGCCGCTACTGTGGTATAATAGCAGAGGGAAACATCCTCTATGAGTTCGTTAATTCTTCAGATGATTCTCCAAACTTGATGGTTGAAGAGGTACTTGAAAACTCTGACGTCGAAGTTTATATGCCTCAACCAATGATACCAATTCTGAATAGGGAACATCTCGAAATTAACTTGAAATCGCTGTTGGAAACCACATCAAATCTCTGTTGCGTGCTCATCGTTTATCCAGACAAGGCTATGTCATTATGCGTTTACAATGACAGAATTTGGGTCTTTGACAGCCACCGTCATTTAGACAGAGGCGCTTTAATTGCCTTTACCTCGCAGGACTACATCGACGATTTCTGTAAATATTTAGACACGGTTTGCAAACGTTTTTATGGCTATGAAGTAGAAGGAAGTAACTTAGTTTACTTAGAACCATATAAGAAATAAATTTAAGTTCAGTTCCTAATCAGTTGAGTTTACAAGTGCCGTAGAACGCCATGCTAACTTTGCACATTTCAATTTTTCAACCATCTTAAAAGAAATGTTGTAGCCTGCAGAGGAATATTTTCCCACTTACAAGCATACAAGCCTTGTCGTCGTCAGCAATTCACATTGCCTTAGTTCAAATATCTAAGCATTGCAAAGTGCCGATTTTGAGATATAATTGCAGTTTTAGTTCCTAATCAGTTGAGTTTACAAGTGCCGTAGAATGCCCTGCTAACTTTGCACAATTCAATTTTTCAACCCCCGTAAAAGAAATGTTGTAGCCTGCAGAGGAATATTTTCCCACTTACAAGCATACAAGCCTTGTCGTCATCAGCAATTCACATTGCCTTAGTTCAAATATCTAAGCATTGCAAAGTGCCGATTTTGAGATATAATCGTAGTTTTAGTTCTTAATCAGTTGAGTTTACAAGTGCCGTAGAACGCCATGCTAACTTTGCACAATTCAATTTTTCAACCCCCGTAAAAGAAATGTTGTAGCCTGCAGAGGAATATTTTCCTACTTACAAGCATACAACCCTTGTCGTCGTCAGCAATTCACATTGCCTTAGTTCAAATATCTAAGCATTGTAAAGTGCCGATTTTGAGATATAATTGTAGTTTTAGTTCCTAATCAGTTGAGTTTACAAGTGCCGTAGAACGCCATGCTAACTTTGCAGAATTCAATTTTTCAACCCCCGTAAAAGAAATGTTGTAGCCTGCAGAGGAATATTTTCCCACTTACAAGCATACAACCCTTGTCGTCGTCAGCAATTCACATTGCCTTAGTTCAAATATCTAAGCATTGCAAAGTGCCGATTTTGAGATATAATTGCAGTTTTAGTTCCTAATCAGTTGAGTTTACAAGTGCCGTAGAACGCCATGCTAACTTTGCACAATTCAATTTTTCAACCCCCGTAAAAGAAATGTTGTAGCCTGCAGAGGAATATTTTCCCACTTACAAGCATACAACCCTTGTCGTCGTCAGCAATTCACATTGCCTTAGTTCAAATATCTAAGCATTGCAAAGTGCCGATTTTGAGATATAATTGCAGTTTTAGTTCCTAATCAGTTGAGTTTACAAGTGCCGTAGAACGCCATGCTAACTTTGCACAATTCAATTTTTCAACCCCCGTAAAAGAAATGTTGTAGCCTGCAGAGGAATATTTTCCCACTTACAAGCATACAACCCTTGTCGTCAGCAATTCACATTGCCTTAGTTCAAATATCTAAGCATTGCAAAGTGCCGATTTTGAGATATAATTGCAGTTTTAGTTCCTAATCAGTTGAGTTTACAAGTGCCGTAGAACGCCATGCTAACTTTGCACAATTCAATTTTTCAACCCCCGTAAAAGAAATGTTGTAGCCTGCAGAGGAATATTTTCCCACTTACAAGCATACAACCCTTGTCGTCAGCAATTCACATTGCCTTAGTTCAAATATCTAAGCATTGCAAAGTGCCGATTTTGAGATATAATTGCAGTTTTAGTTCCTAATCAGTTGAGTTTACAAGTGCCGTAGAACGCCATGCTAACTTTGCACAATTCAATTTTTCAACCCCCGTAAAAGAAATGTTGTAGCTTGCAGAGGAATATTTTCCCACTTACAAGCATACAAGCCTTGTCGTCGTCAGCAATTCACATTGCCTTAGTTCAAATATCTAAGCATTGCAAAGTGCCGATTTTGAGATATAATCGTAGTTTTAGTTCCTAATCAGTTGAGTTTACAAGTGCCGTAGAATGCCCTGCTAACTTTGCACAATTCAATTTTGCATCGTGTATGACAAAAATGTTATGGCTAGTTGATGAATTTCTGGCATTATTCAAGTCTCACCTTGTAAATTTCGTTGATATTGTTTGCAGAGTTTTCTTTGTTTCTTTTTGTAAGCACTGACAGTTTCATCTTCGCCTCCCTGATTTTACCGAGCACATGTCAGATATTGAAGAGCCCGCAAATGTGCGCATTAACCCGCGACGCTCTGACCAGCGGCAGACATTTTTCCTATCTGTTCTGGCTAACTACAATGTTAACTAGGAGCTAGCTAACATTGTATGTAGTTGGTTGCTTTTCCATAGTTTAAGTAGTTTGTACAAACCTTGTACTAGACTGTTTTATTTATGATTGTTAAACAAATATACACAGACTGCGAAGCCTTTAACGTGTTGTGTTTTTGTGTTCTTCTGTTCTTGCTTTTTTGCTTGCCTGTTTAGTAGTCAGTCATTTCTAGCTACCCCTCTTTATGTGCTCAAAAATTCAAAGCTTATTTTCAACTTCAGACAACTGCTGGCTGACTCACAACTTATCAAGCAAGATGCAAGGTTTTTCTTCACAAAAGGAATGGTGAGTACATCAGTTTTATATTTCAGTATATTTCAGTATATTCCAGTACTTGATGATGTTCCCCATCATACTGAACATTCATTCAATATTCAACATATTGATCTATTCAGAGACTACTGACACGGCCTTCCCACATATGTCGGCTTGTTTCTGCAGCCTCTGAGTTGTCAATAGCCAAAATGGTAGTTCATACTTACCTGACGGGGAAGACGATGTGATCAAGAAGGCGTAGCGGCCGGTCACGCTTTTTCGAGCTCCTCGTGCTATCAGCGGTTTTTACTGTTTCTAGCATCTTGCGGTTCTTAATTTATATATTAACTAAGCTTTAAAGCCTTTAGTACTCATTACGAACTCTTTCTAGTGGAAATGGCTTCCAATGTACCATTTATTTGGGGAGATATTCATGAACCAAAGATGAGACCTATATCATTCGCTGAGAAGTTGAAACAAGGAAATGCCAAAATGACCGCAAGTGATTTAGCAGCCAGAGCAGCAAAATTTGAAACGAGTGCAGATATCAACTTCAAGGAAATTATTGGATACTTCCACGAATTTTTTAACAATCCAAACTGCATACAACAGCTGATGCCCCTTGCTGCCCTCCCAGGAAGGCGAAAATGGAATATCATTTTTTCAAAACCACCAATGGTGGCTAAAGTACTCGACTCGCTAGTTAAGTTTCCATCCTTGGCCGCTGACGATCCTGGTATCTCTTTCACTCCTATACGAAGAAGAGCGCTGTTGATCACAATTCCTGATGCATCGCCAGATGTCTCTGACAACGAAATTGGAAATGCCTTGTCAAGACATGGAACTGTAACCCGTGTATGGAAACAAACATGGGAAGGATTCCTGAATATTTTTAATGGAAAAAGGCTCGTTTTAATCTTCCCTTCTGGAGGTACTGAGTTGCCTCCATTTATAATTATTCGAAACAAGAAATTTCTCTTTCATACCGGGGCAAGCCTGTGTTCTGTAATATTTGCATGTCAGATACTCACAGAACATCAGATTGCCCCTCTCGGAACGTCAGTCACTGCTATCTTTGTGGCTCCACAGAGCATAACAAGAAAGATTGTCAAAAATTCGTCCCTCCTTCGGGCCCGGGGTAGGAGATATAGTGGAGAAATTGAGCCAGAGGATGAAATGCCACAACCTCATGAAAATACGAGCGAGGATCAGAGCGAAGAAAACTGCACTACATCAGCAAAAATAGCGGACAAACCATTACCGATGAAGCCCCTCTTGCCACGACGACCACTACAACCCCTGAACCCCCTCACCCGATTGAAGATGAAAACATTACGGAAAGCATCCACGCAAACCAGGATCAAAAACCTAAACCCCAAAGAACACAAAAACCTTCGTCAACAGCCAGGAAAACAAAAACCCCGGACGACTATGCACCCTTCACAAGGAAACCTGTAAAAAGACCAGTTCCTTCAACCCCGGAAAAGACCGTTTCTCGTAAAAAACCGCTGGTGAGAACAATAATTGAAATTTATCCTATTCCTACCATTTAGTTTTATTTTTTCTCATAGCTTGTGTTGTGAGTATCAACGTGAATGGGTTGAACGACCCCCGTCGCTCAGATTCAAGCTTACGTCACCTTTATAGCCTTAAGCCTGATATTTTATTCTTGCAAGAAACCCACCTTAATCCCGTTAATGTTAACAATGTATTTTCCCAATGGCCCGGCACTTCCTTTCATTCCTTTGGTAAAGATAATAGAAAGGGTGTCTCTATTCTAATTTCTGATCGATTGAAAACCACAATCCATTCACGTCATACTTCCGACACAGGCCATATAATTGTTCTCGACCTTTCAATCGATGACAATAGATTGATCTTGGGCAACGTTTACGCTCCCACAGGCGGTCTTGACGGCATTGCAAATCGTAAGGAAATTTTTAATGAACTCTCTAAGGTGTTAGAAAATTTTTCTCCACACTTTCCCATAATCTTAGGAGGTGATTTTAACTGTCTTTTAGATCCTTTGGATCGCTCTAGCCCCGTAAATTATGTTGAAAAAACTGCTAATAATTTAAAAGCAGTTCTGTCTTCTTATCCTTTAGAAGATATCTGGCGTATACAAAACCCCTCTGCTAAGGAATTTACTTTCTCTAGTTCCCGTGGTTCGTTTAGTCGAATTGATAAATTTTACACTTCAAGGAATTTTCGCGACATTTTTAATAAACCTCGCATCGATCCCTTTCCCCACTCTGATCATGATAGGACTTCTCTTACCCTCAATTTCTCAGCCCCTAAACGTGGGCAAGGTATATGGAAATTAAATACTTCTATTTTGAAAGAGCAAGAATTCATCAGCTCCATTAATAAATTTATCACCGACTGGGAAAAATCTCGAGAGTCTTTCCCCTCATTAACCCAATGGTGGGAACATGGCAAAAACACTTTTGTTGACATTGCCAAAAAATATTCAAGAAACCGAAAGAAACAATTTATCCGCAAAAAATCTAAACTACTCAAACAACTCAGAAATGCGAAAAGAAAGGCAGAGAGTTCAGGGGACCCCCGATTTCAGAAGCTTTACAAAAACATAAGCAACGAAGTAAAATCCCTGGAAGCCTCCGAAACTGAAGGCGTAAAAATTAGGTCAAAAGCTTAATGGTCCGAACAAGGCGAAAAAGTCACAAGATATTTCTGCTCTCTTGAAAAGAAACGACAAAGCGACCATACAATGAAATCAATTAAAGATAAACATGATAATTCCATCTCTGACCCGACTGAATTAGTCAATATAGTCAAAAGACTTTTATGCTTCTCTCTATAAAAAAGAGCCAGTCGACTCAAACCTTCAGGACACTCTTTTACAAAAAATAAGTAAAACGTCTTTCAGAAACTGAGAAAAACATTTGCGAACACCCCCTTACTCTCGAAGAAATAAACACTGCCTTAAAAACTATGGTAAATGGTAAATCTCCCGGAATAGACGGACTACCGTGCGAATTTTACAAACTATTTTGGAAATCTCTCGGTAAACACTTCTTAAACGTAATTAACTCTTGCTTTGATAATAAATCCCTTACCCCCAAAGAATTGCTTTAATTTCTTGCCTCTTCAAAAAAGGCGACAGAGAAAACATTAAAAACTGGCGCCCCCTTAGCCTCTTAAATTGTGATTACAAAATAATAGCCAAAATTCTAGCAAATCGCCTCTCGAAAGTCCTAACTAGCATTATAGCAGTAGACCAAACTTGCTCTGTTCCCGGCTGCTCAATTTTAGGCAATTGCCATGCTTTATTAGACATTATTCAATTCTTTGAAGATGAAAATCTCCTGTTCGCTCTATTATCTATTGATCAAAAGAAAGCCTTTGATTGTGTTAATTGGAACTTTCTCCTTAAAACACTTGAAAAATTCAATTTCGGTCCTGTTTTTATAAGCTGGGTAAAACAATAACATTGAAAGCAAAGTTAAATGTAACAATTTTAGTTCTGACCCTTTCACTCCTAGCAGAGGTGTCAGACAAGGTTGCCCCCTGTGACCCCGCAATTAAGGGTGTCACTGTCAGTAAAACTGAATTTAAAATTATACAATACGCAGACGATACTACCCTTCTTCTTCAAGGTAACCAATCCTTACTAGTAATTGAAAATCACATCGCGAACTACGAAAAAGCCTCTGGAGCTAAAATAAAAAAAGATAAAAAAAGTGAAGGCCTCTGGCTTAATAGCTTTGAAAACCGCCTCGATTCCCCACTAGGTGTTAACTGGGAGAAGAAATCCCTCAAAATCCTTGGTCTCTATTTCGGTACTGAAGACACGAATAAACTGAACTGGGAACCTAAAGTTTCTAAATTTATAAAAACATTAGATCTATGGAAGTCAGGTCACTTGACCTTTAGGGAGAAGGCCGTCATCGTTAATCAGCTTGCAAACTCTGCACTTTTGTATACGGCTTTGGTTTTCCCCATACTCCAATAGGCGGTCAAACAACTTAATGAAAAACTTTGGCATTTCTTTTTTAATGGCAAACGACCCCCGATCCCTAGATCACAAGCTAAACTTCCTTAACAAGAAGGCGGCCTCAATGTTCTTGATATAGAGAAGAAATGTAATAGCCTCCTGTTATCGTGGCTAGCCAAACTCGTTGCCCCCAAACAAACAGGCAAATGGAAAGTCCTCTTCGACCATTTCTTAGGAAAATACAAAAATCTGAAAATCGGAAAAAATATTCTTAAATGCTATTTACAGTCCCGCGAAATAAACACACTACCTTCCTTCTATAAACACACCCTCCGTGCGTATCTCGCTATTACTAATGACCATAAAAGATCTCTAGATAACATGTTTGAAATATTTAACGAACCCCTCTTACCGAATCCTAAAATCGCAAAAGATAGTCTACCTCTCAACCCCTACTGGGTGGATGCAGGAATTACCTTATCAAGAGATATTACCTACGAATTTTCCCCTGGTTTTCTCCCTGAACCCGCTATTAATGAGTTAGTTGGTAGTAAATTTAAGCCTAAAGACCTTTCCTTCATTTTATCTTGCCTTCCCTGTGAATGGAAAAATTTCATTTGTTCCAATTCTGCTCCTAAAGATCGCTTTCTATTAATTCCACTCCCCCTTTTAAAGACATTAAAAAGCCGCTTTGTAAATTATCTTCTAAAGACTTTTATCTCGCATCTCTTATGCCATCTACTGATGTTTCTTCCCAAAAGTTTCGTGTTTATTGGGAAAAGAAATTCTCAAATCTTGACTGGAAATTTATATTGAATTCGATATTTACTAGAGATTCTGACTGTAAATCTTGCAACCTGCAATGGAAAATAATCCAACTCGCTATTCCCACTGCCGATCGTTTAGCTAGTCAGAAAATTATCGACAATCCTTCTTGCCCCCACTGTAAAAACCATAATGAAATTACGCTTTATCTTTTTATGCATTGCCGTCTAGTTTCGCTTCTGTGGGACACGGTCCTTTCACATATTAAAAATCTTGATTTAGACTTAAATTTAGATTCTTTAGAACAATTTATTGCCATTGGTTTTGCTAGCATTAAAATTTCACCTATTTACTCGCCCGCAATTGCCCTCTGTGATATAGCTCTCCCTGCAATTTCGAAATTGCGAAATTATAACTAAACTAACCCAGTATGGGGAAAGAGAAAACCAAAGAAGATATTTTTAAATGGACTGATCAGGATATCGAACTATTACTGGAAACAGTAAAGGCTTGTTCTTCGCAATGCTCATACAAAGGAAAGGATTGGGAAAGCATCAAATCAAAATATGACAAGATAAAAGAATTGTTTATCGAAAGGTACCCAAAAGAATCGCAAAAGTGAAGCAGTTGCGTGTCAATTACAAGAAGGCTGTCTATCTTGGTAAGAGAAGTGGTGGAGGACGAATCATAATGACCTACTACGACTTATGCACGGATATATGGTCTGGTTCACCATCCACAAACAGCATTCAAGGCAAGAATTGTATAGATGTGTGTTTAACAGACTTTTTATGATAAGCCATTAAAAATTGTTCCAAGAATGTAACTTTTCACTTGCCCATGCATACAATAATTATGCAAATTTTGCTATGTCATTATTCCTGTTAAAAATATAATCAAAAAACGTTTTATTTATAGGAGGTATTGATACTAGTTCACCAGAGGACAGTACAGTCGAATCTGGGGATATATCCATTGGAGAAGATAGTGCTTTCCAGGATGAGAATGCTGAAGAAATCATTGGAATAAGAGGGGGGTAATGCAGAAGATAGACAGGAAGTTAGTGATAGTTCAAATGAGCCACAAAGAGTGGACAGGCAAGAAAAATATCTAAATTTTTGAAAGATCGAAAAGAAAAAAATATGATGTCCAAAAAATCTTTTGAAAGCCAGCAGTTGAGTTTGATGAGAGATGTTTCTCTGAAGTGAAAATTTGCTGAACAGGCTGAACCAATGGACAAAGAATTTTGCAACATGCAAAGAAATGACAACTTCAATGGAGCGTATGACAGAGGCAATGACAGGGTGCATGGGATTTAGGCAATGAATGTGCACAATGCAGATACACCAACAAAACATGTTGTTAGGGAATCAAAATGCCATGAATTACATCTTGCCCCCTTCATCAAGCCCTAACTTCAGTTTTCAACAGCAAGGTCTACAATGTAATGTTGCTCAATCTTCAAGCAGATCAATAAGAAATGAAAATGAAGAGTCATTCTTGAATTTATTAAATAGCTAGTGAACACTGTTTTATTTATCTTAACAGAAACAAAACAATTGTGTTTCTGAAAGAAAGATTCAAACAGTGTATTTTTCTGATTTTGTTGCATATTAAGTTGGTTAGTGTTTAACAGTTGAATATCTTTTTCACTTTTCATTCAAAATATTTCATAAAGATTTTTCTGTTTTTCTTTCCATCTGATTCATTACTATCACTATTTGCAAACTGAGGCTGGAATGCATTGTCATAGTTTTCTGCTACTATTTGAGTAATATCTGCAATACATTCATTATTCATCTCGCAAAAATTAT